AGACAGAGAGACAGACAGAGACAGACAGAGACAGACAGAGAGACAGAGAGAGACAGAGACAGAGACAGAGAGAGCGTACAGGGCTGGAGATGTAGCTCAGTGGCCTAAGTGCCTGCCTGGCAAGCACAAGGTCCTGAGTTTGATCCCCAGTACAAAAAAAAAGTACAAATTAGAATTAAAACAAAAAATTACAAGTGATACAGATTGTCACTTAACAAAGTAATATGAATTTCACAGTACTTTTTGTAATACATAGGGTTGTCTTCCAACCAGTTATTCATATTACTGGATACATGCATGTAAAATTGGAAGAAAGAAAAAAAGAAATTAAGAAGAGAAAAAGTACAAACAATTGAAAAAAGGAGACAAAACAAATTAAAGCATTAACTGCTTCTTTCTATAAACTAGCAGAATACACAGTCCAGTTGTCCAAAGCATCCTGCTTACACACACAACGCACCTGCTCTGCTTCTCTAGAGTGCTGCCCGGGCCTCTCACCAGAGGACCAGTCTAGCCCACCTGACCCCAGTCCTACCCACCCTTTCCTGCTGTGCTCACAGGTAGGAGCTGCCTGGCTGTGCCATCTCTTTTATCCCCAGCTCATGAGCTAGCTGGGTCTCCCCCTCCCATTTTCAGGTGAGAGAGGAGGACATCAGGGATGAGTTCTGCAGATACCAGGGTGCCCCTTTAAGGGGTCAGAGGAGGGGTAAGCTAGGGCCAGGCCTGGGGAGAGAAATAATTAGAGAAATTAGCATAGTGGACACAGAGATCAGGAATTGCTGTACATTTTATGTTGTGGGAAATTGCAAAAATCTAAGAATTTCTGGGGAGACATAGGCTGGGTGGGATGCAAGGTGAGGGGAGAAAGTGACAGTATCTAGATGGATGGAGGTGACATCTACCACCCTCCACATGTGTGTCAGGAAGTGCGTGTCCTGCCACACACAGAGGACTGTGTGTAAATCAGAAGACATGAATTCTAGTTGTGGCATCAGCTCTAACTAAAACTTTTATTTGAAAAGGTCTCATCAGTCCTTAGGATTTTAGAATATTCCACGAAGAGTCCTTGAGTGCCTTGAAACCTCCACAGCACTTCACAATTACTGCTTGTCTGTTCCCCGCATCGGAGCTGCTTTCGTTCTGTTCCAGGTGGACTGTGACAAAGCTGTGCTGGGCACCATCTATGAGTACGGAGCCCTGACCCTCGCGGGTGAGGAGTACATCCAGTTCAAGCAGTACGCGGGCAAGCTCGTCCTCTTCATCAATGTGGCCACCTACTGTGGCCTGACCGCCCAGTACCCAGGTAGGAACCAGCATTGCCAGAAAGCCCAGAGGGTTTCCTAGTGTATCCTGGGATGAGGGGTACATAAGTGGTGACCTGACACCTTGGCCTAAATCCTGTACTGCCCTTATTTTTTAATTATTTTTAACTGTTTTGTCTTTTTGAGACAGGGCCTCACTATGGAGTTCAGCCTGGCCTCAAACTCACTTTGTAACCCAAGCTAGCCTTGAAGTCACAGTAATCCTCCTGCCTCAGCTTCCAAAGCGCTGTTCTTACAGATGTGCCTCACCACACAGCTTGTACTGCCTTTCTCACGAGGCCAGAATTGTCCCCAGGTTTGAGAAGGAAGATTTTCCCCAAAATGTGGTCAAAGGCCACTGAGACCCTTCCCCCCCAGCTGAACAGGTCAAATTCACTGCTTCATACCTTAGGAAAACACACTGTATGCGCCATGGGCATCCCAGGGCATGCTGGGAAGGACGTGCTAGTGCCTGGGCTTGCACGGCGTGCCTTGGGGACAGGCTCCAGGGACTGAGGCTTTACTTTGGGCTAAGTGCTGCTAGGAACTGAAGAAATGGGGGCGACCCTATGCTTCGATCACAGCAGGTCCTATTTACAAGGCAGGGAGGAAAGCGGGGAAACATCTGACATTGCTGGAAAGATGTCACACTGGTGTTGGCAAACACAGGGCAGTGCTTGGTCATTCCTGGGACATAGAGGTGCCCCCATTTTTACATGCACATTCAGATGTTTGCAACCTCCTGTTTTCAGAACAAACTACAGAGTGACCGTGTGTCTGTCCGGGTTGATCACAGTAGCACACTGTGCAACATTAACGCTCCAGCACAATTCTAGGCAGCCATGCAGGGCGTCCTCACAGTGAGGATCTGGTGCCTGGTGCTGTGGGTTTCTGCTCCAGCCCTGTGGCCTCCAGTTGTTCCCTCCAAGGCCCTCAGCAGACACATGACGAGTGGCAAATCCTGGTCTTTCCACCCAAGGCTGAGCTTCCAGCCCTGGCTGCTCTCCATTCTCCCCTCAGAACTGAATGCACTGCAGGATGAGCTGCGCGAGGTTGGTGTTATCATATTGGGCTTTCCCTGTAACCAGTTTGGAAGACAAGAACCAGGAAAGAACTCGGAGATCCTCTCTGGGCTCAAGTGAGTGCCTGTGTAGGACCATAGAGGCCACCGGTCTGCAAACCGCTAGAGTGGGTGTCACTCGAATGGGCTGGAGAACGTCCCCATGGAGGTCGGGTCCACCCCAGCTGCTGGCGTGCCTCAAACACTCATTTCCTTTGGTTCTCTCGTGGTCAGAGTAGGGGAAGAGCTCATGGAAAAGAAGTCCAGGGGAAGGAGGGACATAGGAAACGGAAATGAATCAGAAGCCAGTGCTCAAAATAGCACCTTCAGTTTTCTTACACGTCTTTGGTGGCACCATGATGCCCCTCCTGCAGGCCCTCTTCCCTCGGCTTCCCTGTCTGCAGCCTCTCTCTGCCTCTTAATTCCTTTACAAGTTGTCAGCAACTTCCATCCCTCCTGGCTCTAACAGTCCTGCTGGGGCATTCTGATTCACTGCAGATATGTGCGTCCAGGTGGCGGTTTTGTCCCCAACTTCCAGCTCTTTGAAAAGGGGGATGTGAACGGAGCGGAGGAACAGAAGGTCTTCACCTTCTTGAAGGTGGGTGAGCGTAAGCTGCGCCGGTGGCAAGCCCTCAAAGCTGCGTGCTGCCCGCCCGGAGCCACTGTGGCCTCCGTAGCATGAGACTGTCAGATCGCTTGGAGGGCCATGGCAGTGTCCACTCTTGAAGCTTTGCTTTAAGCACAGGCAGCGCATCATACGTCACAGCTTGGCCAGGGAGCACTGACCTCCCCTGCTCAGTGCAGCGATCCGGCCATTTGTCACACCTCCAGCATGTGCGGAGGGCTGTGCTGTCCTGGGAGTTAACATGGCCTCTCCCTGAAGGGACCCGCATGTGCTCAGGAGATATGCACAGACACGGCAGAGCACAGTGCTGTGTGGCAAGGGCAGTTAGCGTGGACGACCAGGACAGAAGGATCTGTCCACTTGTCCCCAAGGGCTGTCCACAGAACGAGATTGGGTCTACCGAGAAAAGAAAAGAAAAAACAATGAGATGGACAAATATTCAATTCAGTAAATGCAGAAGACCATAACTTGTTCTGATAAGTTATTGCTAAGATATACCATATAAATTACCTTTTTGCTGCTCAAAAATAGTGATATCATCAAGTTTAGAGCTAAGCCCACTATTGAAAAATTCCTTAAGTTTTTCAATTAAATTTTTTTTGTTAAAATGAATGTTGGTCATTCTACATTCATTTTCAGAAAATAGCTCTTGAGCTTTCCCTGACCCATGAGGCCAGGCTCTAGGAACTCCTATTTTAATCCAACGCCTCATTTTTCACCCAAGAGAACCTGCAGGGGTGCTAAGACTCACCCAGGAAACAGGAGAGGAGCGTTTGCTGACACAGAAACCGCAGGCCCGGAGGAGGGCAGGGATGGGCACCTTCTGTTTAGGGCTGCGGGTTCCACTGCCGGTTGGCCGGTGGGTGGCAGGTGGTGAGGCTTCAGTGACATGTCTGCGCAAGACAGGAAGCACCTTGAGTGACTACGTCACAACCTCGATGGCCAATAGACCTTCGGGGTCAGAGGAAACCGGACCACGCAGGAGCAGAAACGCACGTATCTCCATGTTTCATTTTTCCACTCCAGAACTCCTGCCCTCCAACCTCTGAACTTTTGGGGTCACCAGGTCTGCTTTTCTGGGAGCCCATGAGGATCCACGACATCCGCTGGAACTTTGAGAAATTCCTGGTCGGGCCGGACGGGGTCCCCATCATGCGCTGGTTCCACAAGGCTCCGGTCAGCAGGGTGAAGTCTGACATCCTGGAGTACCTGAAGGGGCAGGAAACCCCGTAGGGAGAAGTGGCACTCCCCCTCCCTGCCCCGTGCACAAGCCCTACTCGGCATCTCGGCTCCCCATCCTTCCAGCCGGCCCCAAATCCTCAGAGCCTGCGTCTGGATGGAGATGAAGGCATGTGTGTGCGTGTGTGTGTGCATGTGTGCGTGTGCATATGTATGTGCATGTGTGCGTGTGTGTGCCTGTGCGTGTGCGTACGCATGCCTGCGTGTGTGTGATGACCCAGACTCCCCAGTGTCTTTAGCAACCTGGAAGTCCCAGCAGGGACCCGCGTCGGTCGGACTGTGCGGAGGGGAGAGCGAGCCCGGGCTCTCTGGCCCCTTCGCAGCACCCTCCCCCCCCCCGCGGCACTCATTGGCACCGCCCCTCGTGCCCTCCCCAGCCTCAGGACTCTAAGGTCGCGAGCCGAAGCCTGCTTCCCAAAGGAGGGCGCCTCGGGAGAGCAGGCCCTGAAGCCCTCAGGGCGGAGCCTCGGAGAGCCTTCCCCGGTGCCTGTCCTTGTGCACTCGGGCCATAGCACCCTGGCACGAAAGGATGGTGGCCCTTCTCCTCGCCCTGAGTCTCCCAGCCTCACGCTCATTCTGTCACTGCCTCCAATTAAAGGAAACTCTGCAGCAAGTGTGCTCTGCGTCCCGTTTCCTGGGTGCCTGCTCCGCCTGCTTCAGAGCTCCTTGCCCTCCCCCACCTCTGCTCCTTGACGCCTTGCCTTGCCCTTCTGTGTCTTGTCGCTCCCAGAGTGCTCTCTGACTTTCCTCGTCCTCAAGGCGGCAGGGGCGCAGTATAACATAACCTGCAGAACAAGGCCCGCTCCTGCTCAGAGATGCGGCCTACTAGAGCCCTATGCGCCCCAGCATGTATAATGAAAATTCCGTCTTCAAACACAGACCCAGATTTCAGAAAATCAGACGCCAGGAGGATTAGATGAGGAAGTAAAGCGGGTCTTTTTCTTTTATTGTGACACAAGCACTCCACTTTAAGCTTGGCTTAGCTCTGGAAAAGCGCAGAAGTGTGTGCTTGGGCAGCGGCAGACAGCCCCAACTCCTACTGTCTGCCTGATGGAAGCAGCCCTGGGTCACAGAGGGACGGGAAAGCCACAAATGGCCCCAGAAATGACCGGGAAGACAGTTCCTTTTAATTTGAAAGAGGAAAAGCAAAAGAACAAAGACACAAAGCAACATAAAACAAGGCAAATGGCACAGAATTTCAACACAAGAATAGAAAATTAACATTGGTTACTATATTGTGTATTGCTATCAGATCTGTTGCTCAGATTCCCAGATACAGGCATCCAAGATCGACCAAACAATTAAACATTAACGCTTCCTTCCAGTAAGCCTTAGGTTTTTTTCTTATCCTTTTGACTTTTTATTTTAAAGAGAGTATGATAATAATAGATAAGACAATACAGAAGGTACACAGTTAAAAGAGCAAGATGAAAGGTATTCGACTGTGGTTGTTACATCGTATGTTCCTGTCCTCAATGTAGTTGCTTGGATTACAGATCTTAGCATATGGAAAGTAAAAATTTTGAACATTAGCTGCTACTTGAAAAAACCTAATAGAAATTAGTAGTCCATCATCTCTGCTATCCTGTGTATATACTTGCATGATTTTTCTCCTTCCTTTTTTCTTTTTTTCCTTTCCCTCATCTCCACTGTTGATTCCTTATGTTCATCTGTTTTACTATACCTATTACACCTTTCAGATTTTATTTATTCTTTCAGGTAAGACCTTCTTAAGGCACATGCAAGACAGTACCTGGATGCTTTGTTTTCTTGAAATGAAATCTAGTAAGGAAGAACAAGGACTGGAGAGGCAGGAGAGAAGAGGGCTCTGACTGCCATTCTTTGCTCCATCACGGAGCCTCTAAGGGCCAAGGACCTTAGTCCCAGGGGCTCCACATCTGCCAGCCAAAGTACTGCTTGCCCTCAGGGCTGCTCCTGCGAGGCGGGCGTTGGGGGCCCCAGTCAGTGCTGCGGCCTCGGGCGCCCTCCAGCGGCTGTTGCTGTAGCGGTCAGGGTGCCACCCCACTGGGGACAGGAATTCCTTGCGGGAAGGGCTGCCCGGAGCTAGCCGTCTGGGTTAGCACGCTGTGATGGTGACCACTATGAGCACCTCGAAGCAGTCTCTGAAGAGAGGTCGTGGGTTGGGGCATGTTCTGGTGACGACCGGCTGCCTGGGGTGATGCGAACTCATTCTTCACCCAGTGCAAGTGAACTGGGAGATTCAGTTCCATGCACCCCACTACCATGTGGCTTAGCTGGAAAGCATGCCAGTTTTTTAAGCAGGAGTTCTGGGTTGGGCCCCTGGTGGGGCTTTTGGGTTTCCTTGTGGGTTGGCTCCTTTAAGGTAGCTTGTGCTGGGTCCTTACAGTCTTCCCACAGACACCCCACCCCAGTTTCTCCCCAAATGTAAAATTGTATTCACCAGGAGTAGATTCATTACAACTTCCTCGGCTTCTGTACTTTTGAAAAAAAAAAAAAAAAGACTGGGAGGGTCATAATTCAAGTACAGAACCCTGATAAAGAATAATGTATGGAACTGCTTCAATCAATTTTCATATTTGTTTTGCATTAAAATGTTCGTAAGCACCCAGAATGTGTTTAAAGCACCAAGACATATATGAAGCATGTAGAAGCCAACGATCCTCAGCTGTAGAACTGATTTCCTGAGATGAGGTAGATAACTAGTGCTCTGACGCTAGCTGCAAAGGGACCTCACCTCCCATGGCACCCCCACCATGCCCGGCCTGGCAGCTGCTCTGCACCAAGCCTCATCCCGGCCCTGGGTTCCTCATCCTGAAAACCACTGCCCATGTGCACCCTTGTAGGGAAAGAGCTGGAGAGCCTGACATATGGTGACTAACCAGGAGCTAAGACACCCACCGGGGATGCCCAGAGGCACTGCAGCTTGCAAGAAACGAGAAGCAATGGGGGATGGGCACCAAGTCCCAGAGTAGCCCAATGGCACCCCGGGGCTGGAGGGACTTCCTTCTCGTCTCCCACCTGTCCATCCAGCAGTTCAAGATGCATTTGCTGTCCTTCATGTGCCAGGTGTATTTCCAAAGGCAGGGGACAAAGCAGGGGACAAAGGCAGCAAAAACCACTGCTCTGATGGACCTTACTTTACAATAATAATAGCAATAATAATAATAATAATAATAATAAATAACAAAGAAATGAACATGTACAATAAGTAAATTTACCAGATCTAATAAGGTCTATGGAGAGAAATAAAGCAAGGAAGATGTGGGGAGGGTGCCGAGTGGGGCAGGGCAATCATAAAGCATCCCCTCAACATGGACAAATTCACGGGCAAATGTTTTTAAAAATTTAAAGCTTTAATGAAAAATATCATGGCATGGCTACTACACTTCTCCACACCACAAGTAGCAGGAAAAAGTAAGGGGGTCCTTCACACAGGGCCATCCTCATGCTCTGGGCCCGCCCATAGAAGTTCCCTTCCCTTACCCCAGCCTCAGCCGTCCGCCTGGTGGCCCAGGTGCCTCACTTGCCATAACGTGAAAGAAATAGGGCGGGCCTGCCGCAGACAAGACAGTTGCTGGGCAGACAGGAGGAGCGAACACACTGAACGCCGCAGAAGGGTAGCTGGCGCTATGGTAAGTGGGCAGAGGGTAATGATTTCTCTCTCTAACCTCGTTTCTTATGTAGTTGTGTAGGGCTAAGGATTGAATCCTCTTACAGCACCCAAGGAATGACACCAAAGTTAACGGCAGACCATCGGGGCAGGTTGAGGATGACAGCAGATGGAGGACGATGTCTCATGACTCGGGAAGACGCCCTAATCCATGGAACTTGTGACGGTGACTTAGGTGGAAAGAGGCTCTCTGCAGGAAGCTCACACTGGGTCGGGCCCTAACCCAGGACTGAGATGTTATGGAGGAAGGCGGGAGTGGGACGCAGGATGCAGGCAGTGGCCACGCACCAGGGAGCGCTGCTAACTGCACAGTGCAGGAGGCCGTGACTTCATTGTAAACCTCGTGGGACTCCGACGGGCGCTCATAAATCGGAGCAGTCATTACAGCTGAAGGTACACATCAGCACGCTGCAACTAAGTGGTGTACTTTGCCTTTGGGGACATGAAAAGTACAGGGCCAGCAGCCGAACTCCGAGCCAGCCAGTTCCAGTGGGCGTGATAACCAAGCGCCCCCGCCTTCGCCCTTGCACAAAGGAATAAACCGGAGTAACCCAAAGCCAGCTGCACAACCGCTCACCTATGATTCCCATTCTCGGCGCGTTCCCAGCGTCGGAGGAAGTAACTGAAACGCCACCCGAGTTCTTGTCTCCTTTCCTGCTTCCTGAACGCCCGTTTCTGTCCGTCGAAACACCGTCTTCAGTGAGCTCACAGGAAAACTTCTCCGCAATGAAGCACACTGGTGGGAGCCCCGGGTAGGTAAGAGGCTGCATCCCGGGACGCTGCGGCTCCGGCAGGCCTCAGCCGGCAGGGTCCGGCCCGGGGTCGCCTGCAGGAAGGAGCCGAGGACGGTCGGCGGCGCCCGCCCCCTCCCCGCCGCCAGCACCTGCAGTGGCCTCCGGGACTGCGCAGCTAAGCCGGAGATTCGCACCCCGAGCTGGGCTAGCTGGGGTGGCGCGGTGCGCTACGCGGCGTCGGGTGAACTCTGCAGATCCCTGGTCAGGTCGTTGTCAGCAGGAAGGCGGACTTCACGTGGGCCGCTTGGACACAGTGTTCACGGGGCGGAGGCCGGGAGCGCAGCCTGGCCGCGCAGCCTCGGGCGAGGCGCGGGGAACTCGGCTCCGCGTGGGATTTTCCAGAGCTTGGGGGCTTCTCGTGGGGTGCTCCGAAAGTCTGGGGACATTTCCTCACGCCCAAGCTTGCCCCTTCGTGGTCTTCCAGTCCTGGTTTGTGTCCAACAGAACAAGGTCCTCTTGGTACCCTCAGCCTTCTCCACCCGGAGGTGGCGCGACCCCAGACCGGGCTGAAGGTCCCTGCGCAGGCCATCGGGGGCACAGCCGGATCAGAAACGCGGGGAGAAGACGGCTGGGTCCGCGGGACCGGCCCAGGACCCGGGAAACGCGGTGGAGTTGGTCACCCGTGTCCTTCCCTATGGCGCGGGAACCCCACGGGCTGCCCCGACCCCAGCGCAGCCCGGCCCAGTCCAGCTGCAGTGTCCTGTGATTCTCTGGCTGCAGCAAAGTCCTTCGATTCACCGCGTTGCGGGGACACGGCAGCCCGACGGAGGATGGGGGAGTGTCAGCTCACAGGCAACCAAAGGTGACACCTACCGCCCTCTCAGAGCCTGGCTGAGCGGTTCTGTAGGAATTCCGGGCGGGAGGAAATGGAAGCGACAATGGAAC